AGTTTTATTTGGCTTTAAAAATGTTTTTTTTTTTTTTTTTTTTTTTTTTTTTTTTGAAATTGTTGTGCAAACAAAACAGGGATGTTAGTTGTAGCAACAACACACTGAATTCTGGCACAGCCTTCTGGCTACACTTACATTTATATACCACACAAATTACTTATTATATTTTAAATGCATATTATCTTGGGGGGGAAAGACTGGTTATGTCTTTACTAAGCAGTTTTGTGACAGCTTGTCCTCTTGGCAAAAAATAGAAATATTGCTGTAGGACTGCAAAAAGAAATTAACTTAAAGCATTACATCAAATATGTATGAGAGCAACCATTACAGAGGGGGTTGTCTGCAATAGTTTAGAGGTCATGAGACACTTTTTAGTGGCATTAAAAAGCATTGGACAACTTATTCAGATTTAAAATTTTATAAATGTCATTATTAGATAGAAAATATTAAACCAAGAGTTAAGCTTTTTTTTTTTCAGAACAGAACTGACACAAAAAGTGTCACTTTTTTAAACGATATCTTTTGCTTTATCATATTAAACTAAATAATATTTTTTGTGATTATGCTGGCAAATAAATGCCTTTATATATTTTTTATTTGAATAAATGCCAAATATTTTGTTATTGGATGCATTCATACATTTTTAAGTGTCACTTAAAGGAATAGTTCACCCAAAAATTTAAATTTACTCACCCTCAGGTTTCTTCATGAGAACAGATTTGGAGAGATTTAACATTTCATCACTTGCTCAGTAATGGATCCTCTGCAGTGAATGGGTGCCGTCAGAATGAGAGTCCAAACAGCTGATAAAAACATCACAATAATCCACAAGTAATGTACGTTATTCACAAACTGTGTATGTGCTGTAATAAACTAATCAATCAAGACCTTTTTAACTTCAAACCATTGCTTCCAAATAAAATGGATAGAGAGTCCTCTATCCATGATATTGCTTTCTCCACTGAAAAAGTCATCTAGTCTGAATCAGGAGAGAAACATGCAGAGATCAAGCACCGTTTATAAGCAAAAACAGTCCAAAACCGTTCTAAACAAATGTGTCAGTTGATTTTGATGTAAGACTTTTTCACTGGAGGGAGGAAGCATTATTATGGATTATGGAATCATATTTAGGCCAGAAGCAATGGTTTAAAGTTAAAATACCTTAATGATGGATTTGGTTATTACAAACACGCAGCTTTTCACTTCACAAGACATTATCTGATGGACTGAGTGAGTCATGTGGATTACTTGTGGATTATTGTGATGTTTTTATCAGCTATTTAGACTCTCATTCTGACGGCACCCATTCACTGCATAGGATCCACTGGTAAACAAGTGATGCTACATTTCTCCAAATCTGTTCCGAAAATCAAACTCATCTACATCTAGGAGGGCCTGTGGGTGAGTAAATTTTCAGCAAATTTTCATTTTTGGGTGAACTATTCCTTTAAGTGTCTAAATATGTTTTAAAGGCCACTGTTTTAAAGATACGACCCATACAGACCTGTCGTAGACCTTTAGAAGCCAGTTTAGACACAGATCCACACACAAAGGCACATTAACCAGATCCGGATGCACCTGCTGAAGTTCACGGTAGATTGTGCAGAGACAGTTTATGATGCCTGGAATCTCCAGTAGCTGCCCATTATGCGTGAGTTTGTGTTGATCAAAGACACTCTGGGCGATGCTGAGCTCCAAAAGGTCCACTGAAACAGACAGACAGATTTAATCTCCACTCATTTCAGTCTCCACAATGAATTCCATTCAGCGCATTTTAATAAAAGTCACCAGAGCGTAACTCATCCGTTGGCGTGTAATGAAAATTCCCTACTGAAAAGGCAGCAAAAAATTATAGCACAATGAATTCCATTCAGCGCATTTTAATGAAAGTCACCAGAGCGTAACTCATCCGTTGGCATGTAATGAAAATTCCCTACTGAAAAGGCAGCAAAAAATTATATTTCTTATCAGATTTGCAACCAATTATACATTTCAACAACTACCCTTTCTCAACATTACCCACATTCAAAGATATGAAGCAGAAAGCAGCTGCTGTCTGTTACCAAAAACACCATCCGGCTAACCTGACTGAAGGCTATTTCTGCACTGCTTGTACTGTACTGATGTTGTCAGCGGGTGGCTTGCCGCCTCTAATGCTCTCAAAACTCTGACTGCAGATCAAAGGCTCATAGTTAGTGTACCAGAAACGTCCTGACAAAATTAGCAGATAGAGCTTGAGATTGCTTGGTTAAAATTGCCTTTGTCTTCTGCAGTAATCTGTTTACTTCCAAAAGCCATTTCGAGTGAGAAGTGATGAGGGGTTTTTCAATGCAATGCAATGATAAATGTCCAAACAAATATGGTATTTGGTACAAAATCCCCCACAGAAGAACCATGGAACTGTTTTTTTATTAGGAAAGTATAAGAAGTATAAGACTTAAATGATTAGATATCACTCACAGCAGAGGGCTTTCTGTAGCCGGCGGCTCTTCATCGCTGTGCGGTAAGCAGAGAAACGCAAGTGGCTCAGATCAGCTGCACATTGAGGGTAAAACATAAAGGCTGGATGTGAATATTATCAAGAAGAAAAGTCCTAGTTCTCAAGTTCAAATAAAGAGCAAAATGTAAGAAAGCATGCATATTGAACATGTTTAGTGAACTACATGGACAGAAAGACTTGACACTGATTGACAGGAGCAAGAACAAACCCATTGACTGAAATAGCTGTGTCATCTTTGGATGATCCCATGAGGTGGTCTGCTGCTCATGACTGAAAGATAATTAATCATAATTAACATCAATTCACCTTAAAGGAATGTACCATTGAAAATGTATTTTGGTATCTGTTAAAGTATAAGAATAAAATTGACAGAAGGTTTTGAAGAGTTTCTTGCAATTATTTGAAGGAGCCTTTTTTTGTACGAAATCAATACTTTTATTCTGTAAGGATGCATTAAATTGATCAAAAATGACATTGAAAACTTTTATAATGTTACAAAAAGATTTCTATTTCAAATAAATACAGGAGTTCTGGCATGAAACTCTAGATGGCGCAGTCTGATAGGTCTAACTCAATCTGACCTAATGACATCATTATCACATGGCACAGCTGATTGGTTCTCTCCTGTATCGGTAGCCAATGAGCTCGCTGCTCAACATTCAAATATATGACTAATGCTTGCTGAAGCAGTTTGCAGCGTGCTTCAGAAACCCTCCACCTTCCCCAGCTCCACCTGTATAGATCTGCTACGAGGTGATTCATGTATGCTATATGGGGGTTATTTCATATATGTTATATTTGCAGCAGCAATATTTCATACATGCTCACAGCAGCATGCTGTGGATGTATTGGCAGTAGCAAGTCTCGGTACTTGCTCTGCCGCAGCGGCAGCGTAGCTGCTGCCAAGACCAAATACATTACCATTGTCATGTACATTTCCATGCCAATCCCTCCGAGAGTTGTCATGACAGAAATGCTGTTCTTTTGAACTTTCTATTCATCTAATAATCCTGAAAAAATTAATCTTTTAAGCAGAACTGCTGTTTTCATCATTCGTTTCTTGAGCAGCAAAATCAGCATTTTAGAATGATTTCTGAAGGAACTGATTATAATACATTTTAGTAAGGGTGACTGCAACTAGATTAAAATTTGTTGAATAACTTCATTCTGATGCAAAACTGAACACATGGGAAATCACATGAAGATTATAATGTATGAAACAACTCACTTGATATAATAAGGGACACCGTTATGAAAAACAGCTCTTTGCCAAGGGAACTGAACGGAAACTGGTTGGGAGACAGAAGGTTTCAAAGTCATGACATTTGAATAACTTTCACGCAGTATGGTTTTTATTATACAGTGGAAAACTTATTTAAGACGTAATTGGGGTTTCTCTACTTTTCTGAACAATGATTTTTCATGACTTCCTCAACTGTTTCCAGTTGCCCGGATGAAGATTTTTAAGAAAAAATTTTAAAAGAGCAATTTCTAGCCAGCCGATGAATAGAGTTGAGTATAACTAAAATATGTGCATTACCATTCAAAAGCTTGGGGATGAAGATTTTATAATATTTTTGAAAGTCTGTTATGCTGCATTTATTTGATCAAAAACAGCATATCTGATAAGAAAAATACAATAAAACAGTAACATTATGAAATATCATTACAATTTAAAATAACTTGTTCTATTGTATTGTAATTTATTCCTGTGATGCAAAGCTGAATTTTCAGCATCATTACTCCAGTCTTCAGTCTCACATGATCCTTCAGAAATCATTCTAATATGCTGATTTGCTCAAAAAACATTTCTGATTATTATCAATATTTTTGTCAGGATGCATTTTTTTCAGGATTCTTTCATGAATATAAAGTTCAAAAGGACAGCATTTATTTGAAAATCTTTTCAAATCTTTTGTAACATTATAAATATCTTTACTGTCATTTTAATCAATTAAATGCATTCTTGCTGAAAAAAGTGTTAATTTCTTTAAAAAGTAAAGTCTAACTGACCCCAAACTTTTGCATGGTAGTGTATACCTATTCACTACAGAAATTACTTTTCAGTTACTTTTTATTAATTCACATAAGTGTTCCAGGCCTAAAAAAAAAAAATCACCATTTTAGAATTAAAAAGGTTTTCCATGACTATGATAGTACTGACAAATGCTTAAAAATGTTTACCCAACTTACCAGACAAGAGGTCATGGGAGAAATGTCTCTTATCCATTTGAGAGCATTGCAACTGCTGGTGCTGATTACCCACGATCCCCTGATAAGAATTTGAAAAAAAAGAAAAATATTCTCAAACTATCAAGATTGAAGGATTATGACTAGACCAAATGGCAAGATAAAAAATGATGCCTAACATCTTACTGTGCTATCAGACCATAATGCGCTGATCGAAACAGACCCTCCCCATAGAGACATAATGGTAGCTCAGATCAGAGGGAAATTACAGTGCTTTAAAGGCTTTTTCATCCTATGAGACGACTAAGCAGGGGGCAGTCTGAAGAAAAATCAAGACATTGTTCTGAGAATATGAGAAAGAAGTCTCTGGTACTTCACTCCTGAAATGAACAGATGCTCATTATCCAACACGCCGGTCTTCAAGAGTCTGTGGAGACACATCTCTGGCAAAATATAATGAGTGCCCTTTTCATCTTGTGTGATAGACAATGCCACATCCCAAAAGTACAAATGGTGCAACTCTTTCAGTTATATTTCAGTTATAACTATTACATGAAATCCCAAAATGCTCACTTGGGATGAAAAATGTTGTTGTTCGAGCTCCAAAAATGAGTTAGTAGCAGCCTGACTGTGGTTTGATGAGGGGTGTTGGTGAAACAAGGCCCAAGGGTGTCATTGGGCAGGTAGCAGCTTAATTATCTATGTTCTCCAGCTGCTCAGATTGATACGGAGGGTCAATATATCTGCCCACAGGATCCTCAAAACAACATGACAGTCGCACACTCGTCAACGCTGTGGGATAAAGCAGAAATCAAAAACAAACTGGACTCTGTGTGGTTTGAGTGATCCTAATGCATGATTAAAAATAATCGATTCTTTAAGGTCAGCGCTGGGGTTTGAATGCACCTTGTGAGAATTTCAGAGTGGGATGCCAACCGGCTCTAATGATCTGTTGCCCATGTGGCACAAATTGGCAACTTTATAGCTATTCTGTGGGCTAGTAAGAAATATTCTAAACCTGAGGTGTAAATAATCTAAAATTTTGACCTTTAGTTTACCCCAAAATAAAAATCTGCTAAAAATGTACTCACTCTCAGGCCATCCAAGATGTAGATGAGTTTGTTTCTTCATTTGGGGTAATTTAGCATTACATCACTTGCTCACCAATAGATCCTCTGCAGTGAATGGGTGCCGTCAGAATGAGAGTCCAAACAGCTGATTAATTCAATTATTATCTTGTGAAGTGAAAAGCTGAGTGTAAGAGTGTACGGAACATATCCATCATGGTGTTTTAATTTTAAAACATTGCTTCTTGCCAAAATAGTCCATAATCCATAATAACGCTTCCTCCAGAGAAAAAATCCATCCCCTGTTGTCCTCTCACATCAAAATACACTGGACTCAAAAAATAATACTCAAAATGCAGAGGCAATATTTTGGATAGAGGACTCTTGAAGTTACAAATTTTGTTACAAATACAAACAAAAAATGTTCATTACAAACATGGAGCCTAAATTGATGGACTGGAGTGGTGTGGATTATTGTCAGGTTTTTATCAGCTGTTTGGACTCTCATTCTGACGGCACCCATTCACTGCAGAGGCTCCATTGTTGTGCAAGTGATGTTATGCTAAATTTCACGAAATCTGTTCAGATGAAGAAACAAACACATCTACATCTTGGATGGCCTGAGGGTGATTAAATGATTACTTTTATTTACATGTATTTACAGTTAGCATGACCATGGATACATACAGCTTAAAGAGTATTTCAGATGGTTTTATGCCCATTACTGCACATCTCAGAGTTTAACCAATGTAACTCCATCTTGACCCTGATGTTTGACGTTGTATGATCAATAGGCGGTGTGGTCTGATGGCCTTGCGTGTATGCAGTCCTCTACCTAATCTGACCTGGTGGGACGGTTCAATCAAACAGATGCATTTGTACAGTCAAATCTGAGACTGATCTTTCACCGGATCTGCCTTAGTCTATTCTAGGCTAAAATTACAAAGAAAATGTCATATTTGATCATCACATGAGACATGAGGAATGAGCTGCCTATGACATATCCAAGTGTATAATAGAGTTCTAAGTCTGTGGAGGTCAAACTGGAATAAACTGAAGAATAGAGAGTGACATCCGTGGTACTAGAGTAAATTTTCCCTCTTCACTCAAAAACACTGGAAGATTCCTAATAATAATCTCAAATATGGTTACCATATACCTAAATGTTGAACAGTAAAGCATGTCATAATAAAACAAATGCTAACAGAGTTTATGATAAATAAGGGTCCTAAAAACAAAAAAGACAAATTCTAGTTTATATTGAAAGGTGATCATTTTAAGCTTAAAGGGGTCATTGGATGCCCATTTTTCACAAGTTATGATTCTTTAGGATCTTAATGAAAAGTTTGTAACATAGTTTGGTTAAAATTTCTCTTTTCAGAGCAAGCCGTTTTGTTGCATTTTCCTTTAAATGTTAATGAGCTCTGCTGACCCCTCCCCTCTCTTCTGAGCCGCTCTCTGAGGGACTGAGAGATTTTAGCTGCATTCATCGTGAAACTTGCTAATTAGCACATTATTAGGAAAGGCTATTTGCAAAGATTCATTACAAAACATTATACTCACTTCTTCTGTAGGTGAAGCTGGATCACGAATGATTCGCACAAACATAGACGCATTTATGTAGATCGGGGGGCGCATTCCCTTCAAAAACAAACATAATCCACTGCAAGTTCAGCGGCTCAGATGTCGGGAGTAAATGACGACTGCTATGTTCATTATTACATCCAACAACAGAACACCTCAATCACTATGGAGACATTCTTGTCTACATCTGCTCCGGCGGTGAAACAATGGCGGACTGATGACAGCTCACTCAGAGCGGGTCTAAGGTAAGACACCAGTCCAATCTGTGCGGGTGGATTTGTATCATTATAGGATGGTTGTGTACACACACTGCCAACACACACACACATTTCAGTTCAAACAACTTGTAAAAGTGCATGTAAGATCCAGTGACCCCTTTAAAATGAAATCAGGCATTAAAACATTTTGAAGAACAATTCTGAAACATAAAATAGAAAAAGTATATGTTACTAATTCAGCATCAATAAAAAATAAAATTATAAAGAAAATTAATTTTGGTAGCACTTAACAAATAAGGTCCTATTAGTTTAACATTAGTTAACTACATGAATTAACTAACAATGAAAAGTTATTCTAAAACAGTTATTAGTCTTAGTAAATGTCAGTTTCAACATTAACTAATACATCATTAAAATCAGGAATTGTAATGTTACAATATTAATTGGACCTGATTAATAAATACTGCAACAAATTAGTTGCCCATTATTAGTTACTTTTAGTTATTACATTAATGGGCCTCGCTTTACATCCTTGCCGTAATTTTTCATTTGAACTCACGATATTTTCCACGTTCTCCAGCACACAGTTGACCATGCTGTGTTCCTCAGAGTGCAAGCTCTCATTCTCCATCTCAGCCAGGCCGAGGTCCAGTTGGTTCATGGCATGTTGGAGATCCTGAAGTTTCCCCAGAGCCCAGTCGACCTCGTGCTGCCAGCTGGCGGCCTGAGCACTGAACCGCTCCCAGTGCTGCTGGACCTCAATGGCCTGCTCCTGAACCGCTTGAGCCAGCTGACGAATCTTCTCCTCCTGGACTGTCTCTGCTGAAAGTTAAAGACAGCGTCAGTCAAGCGAGATGTTCCACGTCATGCCATTTTAGTGATTATTTAATCCAAAGTAGCGTTTTTTGTGATCTGTGGGTTTCTGTATACTATGGTGACATTTATAGACCACGATGACCATGACGTCTTTTACATTATTACAGTAGATTACAACATCATAACAGTAGACAGTAAGAAACTTCAAGCTATGATTAGCGGCGTAGCTGTTTCAATGTCACACAAACTTAGGCTACCTCTGTCTTATATGTAGCTTTGGAAAGTTCCATTCTTTACATTTACAGTTCGTTTGGACGGTTCTTGTAAACGTACAGATTCCAAAAAGTGGGATTTCGATTCTATTTGGATGATTTAGTTTTTGTATGCCTTTTTGTATAAATTAGGGACAACTATAGTTAAAGTAAATTTATATGTTTACATGTGTAATTGTAATTGTTTATTCATTTCTTTTATAAAACTGTGGTTCTGATTAAATTATACATTTTAGAATTGGATAGTTAGATAAATTATTTAATTGAGTAGCTTCATTGTACTAATACTCTTTTGTCAGTAGGCTACTTTAAAAAGATTATCTGCTCATATTTATTTGTTTATGTCAGATACATGTAGACTGGGTTTTACAGGACTGAATGTTTTAGTAGTTAAGAGTCCTAGTCCTAACCATATTACTGTGGACCAAAGAATAGAGCAAGCTAGTGTTAGAGGTCTTTTTTTGCTTTTGTTAATTGTATAATGAATAAAAAGAAAATGGAGTACAAAAAGATTAGAAAAGCTAGTGTTAGTTACTAGTGTTAGTTTGTTAGTTACTAACAAACAGTAAATTAATAGATTGCCAGTCTAAAAGGGACACGTTTTTTTTTTTAAAGAATAGAATTAGAATAGAGAGTGCTAGAGTTAGAGGGTCAAATAAAGATGGAAGAGATGTGTTTTTAAATTCTTTCTATTAAATCCGTTCGTTTGGACGGTTCTTGTAAACGTACAGATTCCAAAAAGTGGGATTTCGATTCTATTTGGATGATTTAGTTTTTGTATGCCTTTTTGTATAAATTAGGGACAACTATAGTTAAAGTAAATTTATATGTTTACATGTGTAATTGTAATGGTTTATTCATTTCTTTTATAAAACTGTGGTTCTGATTAAATTATACATTTTAGAATTGGATAGCTAGATAAAT